AAATTATAAGGAAGATATCCTCGCTTTCCTTGTATTTATATCAAGAGTTTTATTATTAGAGCTTGTATTAGTCAAGTCAGCTCAATACAAATTAAAAACACTCGCATCGCTCACTGGATCATTAATATAGTGACAACAATAGAAATAAGAACTAAAACCAATAATAGATATATTGTATATGGGTAAAAGTTATTAATTGTTATTTTGCTTAGCGCTACAACTAGAAGAAAAAAATTCGTACATATAATTTCCTGCAGTATACAAACTCACGTCCAAGAATATCCCTTTCTTACCTATTTTCTTGGAGAAAAGTTGCAAAAGGAGCAAGCAAAACGTGTATGTCGACGAGGACAACATAGGATGGAAAATAAAATTTAAAAAAACAACAAAAAACACTCACACACACAAAAGAAAGAACGACCAAAACCTATAAAAAATATATTACGTTACCGCTTCATTATTATGGGAATGAATTATAATACCATCAATAAATTACAGGCAGCCACTTTTTACAACGACCTGTCTTTCCACGCTATAACATGCAAAAACTACCGGTAAGACAATAAAACAACCATCACTTAATAGACAAAAGAATGATAACATGTGGATGGCTTCGTAAAATTGTAGAGTTGTAAATCACAAAAATCGTAAAAAAAATTCTTGAACGTTTTGCACTGGGAGAAGGATAATTCATATTCTACTGAGGGAAATGGCTTGGTGAGATATATGGATGTTTCATCCTTGATCTCAGGAAAGTATTTATTATTATTCACTCACAAAAACTTAAGGTTGCCTCTTCCTTTTCTGCGATTCCTAACATCTTTTAATACATCACTGTGCGGATCTACCGACTTACCGACCTAATGACCTAAATTAATGTTCAATCTATATATAAACAGTCCTTTTTTGTGGCTGCTGCCTCGTAGAGGCGAAGTTACTATGTAATCAGCCTCTTCGGAGGATAACTGAGCCTCTTCGGAATATAATTCAGCCCCATAGTGGGATTGAATAGTATCTAGTTAATATTTATGCCAAATTTAGTACTTTGCACTGTTGTATTTTATACCTTGTCGTTTTTAGTGCCTACTACCAAGTAGTAGAAACTATTATCATCGGGTTGTGAAATTAACTCTATCACGCGTATATATCAAGTAAATAAAAGCATATTTTCATAACTCATACCTGTTAATCGCCAAACAGAATCACATATGAAGTAGAAGAGACCTCAAGAGAAAATTGGTCTAAGTCTGGGAGAACATTGTCGCTTTTTCATCGAGAAAAACGAGGAAAACGTTCCTCAAAATATTACCGTCATTTTGTTTCAGTCACGCAACAAAATGAATCGGCACAAAATGAATCGGCATAACACAGGAAGCCCAAATTAATCAATATCAGCATTTAATAAAAACCTATACTGAAACCTTTACTTTCAACATTTATAATTTTTTCAGCAACACCACTATTAATTGATACCTTTTTATTTTACCTGCACCTGACTGCGAGAGAGCCATCACGCGGAGGGGCGGGCATTGGCGGTTTGGTGGGGGGGAATTGGTTGAGGGACGGAAGAAAAAGTTCTATGTTGTTCTTCTGTCCTTTGATCTGTCCCTGTCCGGCTGAATTCCTGATGCTCTGTTTTCGTGTGGCGGCTCTCTTACAAATATACACTCTCATATTTTTGATTTTGTTTTTAGAACTTTCTATTTACATATTTAGGATAGTCTTTTTTTTTT